ATGACTATCAACTTGATCCAATCAAGGGAGAGTACAATAAAGTAGCTGATGCACTATCACGACGGGCAAACTATCTGGGCGCGTTAGTAACTAAATTGGCATATTTGACGATCTAACTCGATCATTGGTAGAAGCCTATCAGCAAGATTCAATTATGTCCGAGATCATCTGTAAGTTTCAAGCGAAGGACAAAGTAACTTTAGACGAGTTTACGATGATAAACGACTTGCTGTTTCTTGAGAAGGCAGGTAATAAAAGACTGTGTGTTCCAAGTAGAGAGTCCGTAGTTTGTTTTAAAAAGAATGTCATGATGCAACTGGTCATTTCGGCTATAAGAAGTCTTCAACTAACCTTGTGCATAGATTCTGGTGGCCTTCTATGATGCAAGATGCCAAAAGGTACGTAGAAACCTACCAGGTTTGTCAACAGGACAAACCTTGGACTCAGGCTCCGCTTGGGCTCATCAAGCCCTTGCCGATTCCTGAAGGTCCTGGTCAGAGTGTGTCCATGGACTTCATGGATACTCTTGTGACCAGTAGGTCTAGAAAAAGGCACATCTTTGTTATCGTAGCCCGCTTCTCTAAGCATGCAAGACTAATCGCTATGCCGAAAACTGCCAAAACTGACTACGTCATCCGACTGTTTATGGATAACTGGGTACGAGACTTTGGGTTACCTAAGTCCATAATTAGTGATACGGATGTTTGCTTTACCAGCGAACTGTGGCAAAACACCGCCCAACAGATGGGAACCAGACTGCAAATGACATCAGGGAATCACCCTGAGTCAAATGGACAGGCGGAACAAATGAACAGGGTAGTGCAGCACCTGCTTAGGCACTACATTAAGCCAAGCCAGGATGACTGGGACGAGAAACTACCTCTCGTCGGCAGCATGTACAACAACGCTGTACACAGCGCTATTGGCATGGCTCCCAACCAACTGCATTTTGGTTGGAAGCCTCGTTCCGTGCTTGATTTCCTACTACCTGAGCAGCAGACCACTGTAGCACCAGGCTGCGTAGAATTTGCTGTCAAGTACGAACAGATGCTGCAGCAGGCCGTCGAACATATGAGGAAATCTCAAGATGCTATGATTGCATCTGAGAACAAACATAGACGGCCTTCTAACTTCCAGGTAGGGGACAGGGTCTGGGTAAAATCATCTGAACTGGGACAGGAACTGGGAATATCTAGAAAACTAATGCCACAGTACTTCGGTCCCTGGGAGATCCTAGATATAGTCGGGGATCAGATAGACGGACCTTCCTATGTGATTCACGTCCCACCTCACCTATGCACACACCCAGTTTTTCACGCTTCAAAGCTGGCACCTTTGGCAGAAACTGCACAGTTTCCTTCCAGACGGTCAATGCTGCCCCCAACCATGGATGGTGAAGTTGACATCGACAGAATTGTGGAGCATCAAGTGATGTTGGTGCCTAAGCCGCCGGGCAGAGGCCACCCTCCTAGGCCAAGAATGCAATACCGTGTCAGATCCAGACATCATCTGGATCCCAGCGAAGGTCGGTGGTTCACTAGAGAAGAACTCATGAGAACTGCACCTCAAATTATTGCAGGCTATGAACGAGAACTCAAGGGGAAGATGCCTGCAGAGTAGAAGACTTCTCAGAGGACTATCGAAGAAAAGGAGGGAATGCGAGGATCTGGGTCCTCGGCAGGCCTAAGAGGGCCCCTACTGCAGATGTGCCCGCCCTAAGTSAAGGCGGGCCTAACAAATCACGAGAGGCCCTCAACTGTCAATTTCGTATTTGGGGGTCCAGGCAGTTTCGACGCGCCAGTTGGTTGAGGGAAAACCCAGGCCGAGCAGCAGCACATTCCACGGCCTTCCAGGACATTCCAAACTGCAGGCCCTGGGCGAGAATCGCAGCCTCATACACAGACAGTTGGGAGGCCCAACTGAACGGAGGCCCAGCAGCAGCATCGGAGGCACTCCCTCCTGGGGCCTACCGGAAGCTTCTGGGTAGAGGCCCAGGCCAGCCAGGCCGCCAGGAGAGGCAGGCTCTTTCCATAAAGGAAAGAGCTCGCTGCCTGGCCAGGCATTCAGCACTTGCATGCTGGCGGCAGCGCTGCTCGAGCGAATGCTCGTGGGCTGCTGCTGGCACTGAGAGGCAAGGTGCTAGCACGTGCGGTCGTGCAGGGAGCAGGGCACTGCTGAGGGCAGCGCCATAGCCCAGCCTCCATAGCTGGCTGAGGGCTTGGTTGCACAGTGAGGCGCAGGGGTGGTCTTTGGGTGTACAAGAGCGAAGACGTGGGAGTAAGACAGGGGAGAGAGAGAAGGATGATGATGATGTGAGGGCACATACCTGGTATTGGCAATTGTCTGCATGGGCGACATCTTCAAGTACTTCGGAAGCTGCTGACGTCAACAGTTGCATTGTCAATTAGTAGGCAGAGTGTAGCTGTATAGGAAGTAGGCTGGGCGCCGAGCGCCAAGTAGGGAGATAGGGCCTGGACACTCATGTTGGTGGTGGAGAGGGCAAGCTCTCATTGACATTGGTTTCCAGTGTTACGAATCTTCATTGGTGTTATATTGGTGCATTTCTGCTTTCTGGACATTGCGTTACTATCTGGCCGTCAATGTGATTGTGCATTCTGGTTATTGTCATCTCACTTCTGCTCATTTTCCTTGCACAAGAGAGTAGAGCATTGCAAGTCAAGTGAATAAGACAACCAAGATCCACTCGAAGTCCATCTTCGGATGCCTTACCTTCCAATGTGTCAGGAGATTGTGTAAGCGGTCCTCGGATTGGTTGCACGCAAGTCTCTCTTTGCTGAGGTAGGGTCCCACTGGGTACACAGGCCCTCAGGTAGGCCGGCAACCCTGCCCACTTCCTATAATAGGAGGGAGCCTTTACTCCAGAAGAGAAAGAACTTGACCATGCTTCCCTAATGAAGTAACTGAAAGGAAAAGACAAACTTCAGATATGCTCTACTCATTAACAACCAAGATCAGTCTGTAATATGAGCGGGTCTATCTGCAAGGGCGAAGCTGTCTGTCGGAGGGAGGGACGGAAGTCCAGGTGGGACGGGCAGATTGTGAAGCCTCCTTTGCTAGTCGCCGCTTCTCGTAGTCGGCGTATATAAGCGGTGTGGAAGCCTGCAAGTCTGCTCACAAAATCTAACACGTGGCTTTCTGCTGCTGCTTGGCACTTCACTTGCGAACCTCACGGTCCAGCAGCATTGCTGCCTCGCTACACGAAGAATTAGGTAGCGAAACTCAGTGCTCATCCGCATATACTTTAGCCGCTGCCTTCTCCCCGGTGACTTCCCTTCCTTTTGGCGGGAACATCATTGCAGTCCGATGTCTACCAGCAGGCCCTAGAGTTAGACTCTTTCAGACAAGTACCTACCAGAACCTACCCCTCGACCTGCTGGGCCTCAAGGTGCTACCCAAAGGTACTACCTACCGTTTTGTCCTTTTCTGCCTACTGCCCGCTGCTATTTGATTTTGGCTACCGCGGACCTACCCTTCCCTTCTTAGCTGCCCGCAGCACAAGTGCACACAATGGTCAGGGTTAGTACCAGGCCTGTGGGCCAAAACACACCAGCCGCATGCAGGCACGCACACACAGGCACTCGGACAGCCAGACACACAGCACACGGACTCAAACAGCAGAAACCCGGCAAGCACACAGAACGGCGGCAGAAATCAGAAAAGCACAGGTTTCATAGACTGCAATTTTGCAGCGTATTACAGATATAACAGATCAAAGAATATGGATTAGATTAGTCCAAAATTCTCCAAATATGTTCCTTCTAACATGGCTGTGTAATGAACCCAGTCTCGTTGAGAAGCCAATCAGTAACGGAAGTTTGAACCCAGTGCGCTTCCTGAAGTCTCCAACATCAATTACAAGTACATGTCTCGATCATATGCACAACTCAAGAGTATTGTCTCATCAAAGAAGCGCACGAGAGGAGAGAAGGAGGAGAGAAAAGACAGAGAAGAGGAGGGTGGAGAGTCGCAATGATAATCAATAGTACATGTCCCTCTCTCTCCCACTTCCACTTCGGGCTGCTCCCCTATTGCCACCTCAGCAATGTATGTTCCCTCTGATGTCCTCTGACGTAATCATTGTGCAAATCATCATAGGGCGCCCATCCTCCCTCCACGACAGCAATAAAGTATGAAGGATGGTGCTGCATTTCCTCACCTCGTGGAGGCCAGCAGCAGATCACACGTGTCGTCACCAAGTCCAGGTAAGTTTCCCCCCATCTCCCGTCAGTCTCACAACCCAGATACTCCTCCTTGCCAATCCTCATCACCTACTCTACATCTACGTGGCTAACCAACATGATCTCCCTCTAGGCTGGCGCCCTCCAGAAGTGTCTGGCACCAGCACTCCCCTCCAGCAGCCTCGCGATACAGCACCAGCATCAAGCCAGCGCAAGGCAGAATGCTTTCCCCAGTGTCTGGCTGGTGTTTTGTAGCGTTGACCAGTTTTGAGAGAGCAGGTTAACGGAGACCCTAATTTTCAGACCACTTGCCATGTCGTTTATAAGAAAACCAAAGGGTCATTGGGGGTCCCCATTAACCACTTGTGCTACTGGGTTGACTTTGACTTGGGCCTGCTTTTCCCGTGCTTGGTCTGACTCTTGATTTTCCAAGAGTCTACTACCTCGCGTGGTGCTGCTGTTTTTGACCCAGCCCTGGGTACCCCTTGACCCTAGGCCCTTTCTCAGGCATTTCTCAGACTTGCGGCGTGACTTTTGAACCCTGTTTCAGCCTTTTGACCAAAAGTTACAACCCATGCCCGCGGCAATGTGGATCTGAACTGAGTTTATTGCGGCTGCATCTCAGGGGTTTTCATTGCAAGAGTTGGAATGGGAATGTAGTCAGGACAAGTGTTGATGCCATCAACATGTTTGCGTGTAATCGGATGAGTGGGGGCAATATCCATTCATAGACACACTTATGCACACAGGCAAAGGAGCTGTGAAGCAACCGCATGATCCTACCAGGAGACTGGAGCAGACCTTCAGATGATGTTGCTGCAGTCTCGGTTTCGTCGTCATGGTCAATCCATCCAACAAAAGTATGAAGGAAGTCTCTAAAACTGATTCGACCATCATTGTCCCAGTCCATTTCCACTGCAGTGCAGTAAACACAGTAGGGCACAAAGAAAAGGAGTGAAGGTGGCAGTCAGCACAACACAACAGTCAGTTTGTCTTCTTTTCTCTCTCTCTCAGTGGAAAGAACAAAAGACAGAACCGGAACATCTATTAAATTGGAATGATACAGAGATGATTAGCATGGCCCCTGCGGAAGGGTGACACACATAAATTGAGAAATGCTCTAAAGTAAAAAAAAAAAGGAAAGGACAGAAAACTAGGCTACCACAGTGGCCCGGGACCACTTGCCCGGCTGGACCAAAAACAAAAACAAAAACTGTTTTAATATTTTTTAATTTGATTTTTTATTTTAAATTTGGTAAAGAATTTCGATGTGACCCTGACGCAAAAGTTGTTCAGTTTATTTTTCTGCATACAATTTTTTTTTTTTTTTTTTTTTTTTTTTTTTTTTTTTTTTGCTAGGACCTTCCCTCTGCGAGGATCTGGGTCCTTGCCAGGCCTAAGGGCCCCCTGTTGCATACGTGCCCGCCCTAAGTGAAGGCGGGCCTAACAAATCACGAGAGGCCCTCGACTGTCAATGTCGTATTTGGGGGTCCAGACAGTTGCGACGTTCCAGTTGGTTAAGGGAAATACAGGCCGAGCAACAAAGACATTCCACGGCCTTCTGGGCCTTTCCAAGAATGCAGGCCCTGGGCGAGAATCGCAGCCTCATACGCTCACAGTTGTGAGCCCAACCGAAAGAGGCCCAGTAGCTCCAACACAAGCGCAGCATCCTGGGGCCTACCGGAAGCTTCTGGGCCCAGGCCAGTCCAGCCAGGCTGCAAAGGCAGGAGGCTCTTTCCATATAGGAAAGAGCTCGCCACCGGCAGCTCATGCAGGCACTCACATGCTAATGGCAGCGCTGCTGGAGCGGAAACTCGTGGGCTGCTGCTGGCGCTGAGAGGCGAGGTGCTAGCGCGTGCGGTTGTGCAGGGAGCAGGGCGCTGCTGAGGGCAGCGCCATAGCCCAGCCTCCATAGCTGGATGTGCTTGGACTACAGTGAGGCGCAGGGGTGGTCTTCGGGTGTACAGAGTGAAGACGTGGAAGTAAGACAGGGGAGAGAGAGAAAGATGATGATGATGATGATGTGAGGGCACATACCTGGTATTGGCGATGGTCTGCATGGGTGACATCTTCAAGTACTTCGGAGGCTGCTGACGTCAACAGTTGCATTGTCAATAAGTAGGCAGTGAGTAGCTGTGTACGAAGTAGGCTGGGTGCCGAGCGCCAAGTAGAGAGATAGGGCCTGGACACTCATGTTGGTGGTGGCGAGAGCAAGCTCTCATTGACATTGGTTTTCAGTGTTACGAATCTTCATTGGTGATATATTGGTGCATTCCTGCTTTCTGGACACTGTGATATTATCTGGCCTTCAATGTGATTGTGCAATCTGATTATTGTCATCTCGCTATTGCTCATTTTCCTTGCAATTTGGTATCAGAGCTGGTTCGAACTGCGCTTCATTGGTTCTTCGGAATAGCTGTTCTGTGATAACCCGTCCAAACACGGACTGAAACACACAGCTGATTTCTGAGTTTTGCTCATAGACTGAATGCCCTACTGAGTTCCCCGCCTGCTAAGTATGTGTGTGTGTGTGCTTGCTGGACTGCATGTCTGTCTGAGAGCTGGTTGGCTTGCGTGTGTGTGACTGTGCCTGTCTGAGTGCTGGTTGGTATGGGTGTGTGTGTGTGGCCCGCCAGGGCACTTGTTCGTTCGTTGGGCCCTCAGGGCCGGTGCTTACCTGTGGCCGTGACTTTGAAGGGTTGCAGCGGGGAAAAAGCACTCAAGTAGCGGGTAGGCCGGTACCGCACCCGGCAGGGGGGTAAATATGCAGGTACCGGAGGCCGAGCAGAAGAAGACAAAAGTGGCATTGTTAGAGGCCGGTAGTGAAGGCTAGGTCTAGCGGGTACCAGTCTGAGTCTAGGGCCTGTCGGGGCAATATCAGAGTCTGCAATGATGTTCCCTCCAAAAAGAGGAGGAGGTACCGGTTGCTTGGGAAGGCCAGCGGCCTGGAAGTCACCGCCCAAGAGGCAAAGCAGGCCGCTATATCTTCCGGCCTCTTTTTCAGTGTGCAAGTTTGGCGACACACTGGTGGAGCGCTGGAGGGAGCAGCGCTAGGCTGGAGCTGTGCTGCTGGGGAGGAAGAAGGACTAGAGGGAGGAAGAAGGAGGAAGGAAGGAGGAAGGGGGAGGAGCGCCAGGGGTACTTACCTGGCTATGGTGGCAGCCATCTTCATCACCTCGGTGGGCGCTGCAGCAAGGAGTCCCCAGCCGGGGAGAGCCACACCAAGAAGCTTCAGGGCAGGGTTGGACATGGCGGCCTGAGACCAAGCAGCCATAGCTGCTTTGTGTTGTCCTTTGGGCATCGGAGCAAGGCCTAGTAGTCCGCCATAGCCTCGGCCCATGAAGTGTGGGAGAGGCGGCCATGGCTATGGTGGACCTTGAGTGATACCTGCAGTAGAAGAGGGACTCGGACATTGATTCTGGACCAGTCATTCAACATTGTATTATTATTTCTTGTATGAATAAGCGGAGGGGGAGATAAGGAGGAGGAGATAAGGAGGAGGAGATTGTTGGGCGAAGAAGAAGAGCCTTGTAATTGTCTTTGCTGGTGTACATCTTCTTCTTCTTCTTTCTTACTTCTTCTTCTTCTTCTTCTACTCCTCTCTCTCCTCTCAAGTTCATTCATTTCTTTCTGCAATTGGATGACATTGTACTTTCCAGTGGATGTGTAACTCGAAATTGGCCAGCGTCATAACATTGGTATCGGAGCGGATTCTACTTGCTGGTGAGAGTTGACTTTGCAGCCCTAACCCTAACCTAAGTGGTTGAGGGCAACACTTAGGGTTAGGGTCGGATGGTTGAGGGAAGTGGGGCAGCGTGGCTAAGGGAAGCTGCCCCCACCTGGTTAGATCATGTGGGGTCAACATAGACCCTAACCAGGTTGCTTGAGAGTGAGATTAGGGTGGCGAGACATTTCGAGGAGACTTCATGCGGCGATTTGAGAGAGGCRACAGTGAGAGGCACTCGCACCTGGAATCTGAGTCAAGGGAGACACTTGGCAACTTAAGGGCTGCCCTCAAGTAAGGCGAGCTTGAGGGTCAGCGGCCATTCTGCATCAACGGACTGCAAGTTGCTACTTTGTTCTTCAGCATCGACGGGGGATCCGGCGTTGCACTTGGGTGTTGGACTCAGACCCTCCTAGGAGATAGGAAACTAGTGTAGGGGTAGCGTTAGATGGGTCAGGAGGACCATATGAGAAGGGGGGTGAGTTCTCTTCATCTCGAAGCTCAAGGCCACTGAGGTAAGTGTCGTGCACCTACGGGATGCCCATGTATGTGTGTATGGTATTGATTGTCCTGTTGGGGTACTCTGGGTTTCTTTTCCTACTCCTCTGTGGTCTTGATTGTGTGACTGAATGCATGTGATCTACCTACTCACCTGATGGATGGAAAATGAAGTATCTTGTTATACATGCCGAGTCTTTCTACAGTGCTTTGTCTTTTCATCACTGAACGGTTGTAGTCTGTAGGTTCTGCCATAAGTTGAAATTTCGTTTTTCGGTGCAGTAGAGACTGAACTAAGTTCAGGTGGGACTCCTCTTGGTGGGGAACTGGTTGAGACCTACGTGGGACCCTTGGGACCCAGCGGGACCGGGCCCAAACAAGGAGAGCCTCTGGACCCAAATCGGTTAGGCATTGACCTCCTGTCTTCTTGGCTGGGATACGAGTTCATTCTTCTTGGATTAGGACACCCACTGCCGAGGGGATCTTGGCTTTGACGTTTCGCTTGTATTCTGATTGCACAATCCGTGGCTTGACTCGCACCCTGTACACCACTCAATTCTCCATTGTTGCATTTAGTTACTCGTTGTCTGATTTGCTGTACGGACACGGAGCTGGTCAGACTGGACTCGAGAGGACCTCGTACGCAGTCTGATCAGACTGGGTCGCTGGATCAGACGTCTCTTTGAGTTTGACTGTTTCTTTGTTGTTCTCTACTTCCAAATGAAATGTCGCTCCGGCTAGGAGTTTTACCTTCTCTTCTCTGAGCTTAATCTGTTTTCTGAGTTCATTTCTGATGCCCGTGGAGACTCGCAATATGAAAGAAGAGAGAGAGAGGAGGGAGAGAGAACAGGGAGAGAGGGAAAGTGATTGTCTGAAGTGGGCAAGGACTGGGAAAAGGAGTGTTCGTCTAAGCGGGAGGGGGAGTGAACCTCTTGAGAGTCTGATTGATTCTTTTGCTGACTGGCGACTCTCTAACCCACCTTTCCATACTGACAGTTCGAAAATGGCCCAGCTTACTTCAATGCAATGGCGGGCCTTGTTAGATGCAGCCAGTGATGTTGAGAAACCCCATCTGCAAGCACTCTTAGATGGTGCAATAAAACGGGAACATGAGTCGGAGAAGGAGAGGAAGGAGACCTTGCTGAGAAGGCAAGTAGCTCTCCTAGAGACTGTTCCCTCACTGACTGAAGAGCAGTGTAGGGAACAATTGCAGTCCATCCTTACAGCCTTTGTTCAAGTCAGGAACCTTGAGGACTACACCACTCAGATCGCTGAAGTCTTTGCAAAGCTGCAGACACTTCAGGATGACCTGACTGAGATGACCCGCAAGTTCCATGAATTGACAAAGGAGGTGGCTGACCTGCGACAAGCCCAAGTGGCTAACCCTCTTCCTCTACCCCCTGGATCTGAAGCTGCAATCGAAACTACCTCTGCCCCTCTCACTGTATCTTCTTCTACCTCTTCTTCGAGTGTGATGGCAACCCCCTCGGGGCCTGCAGCAGGTGCAGATTCCACTATTGCTATAACAAGCAATGAGGCTGGAACTTCTGCAACTGCTGCAGCCCCAAGACCGGAACCAGCTGCTGCTGGACCCCACCCACGTTGGTCCCTATGTGGACCGGAAGGCGGTACAAATGTCGTCTAAGTACGACAGCAAGGAAGACATCGAGTCCTGGATCGGCTCCATGAGGGC